TGTAATGTCCAATCCTGGCGATAGTTATGTGAGCAAGTTATTATTTTCCCCCTTTTGCAGATGAGGAATCTGAGGCTCAGAGAGGTTAAGTTGCTTTCCCAAAGTCACAGCTAGTAAGTAGTGGAGCCAGGATTCAGGCTCAGGTCTGTCAAGCTCAGGCCTCCCCCACCATCCCTGCCGCCTCTCCAGAGCTGGCTGGCAAGGGAGGCTGGGAGGCTGGCTGCAGGGTGGGGTGCCACCTCCCCCATGTTTCGTTTCCCAGCGATTCTGGCTGCTCCTCCTGACCCGGGGCCTGGTGGGGGTTGGGGAGGCCAGTTACTCCACCATCGCACCCACCCTCATCGCTGACCTCTTCGTGGCAGACCAGCGGAGCCGGATGCTCAGTGTGTTCTACTTTGCTATCCCGGTGGGCAGGTGAGTGGGCCTTGGGCCTGGCGGGGGGTGGGGGGCGGGGGGCGGGGCACGGGAGGCAGAAGGACCTGGCGTGGGGCAGGACTGACCAGCTGTCCCCTCTCCTCTCCCATCCCCTCTCCCCAGTGGTCTGGGTTACATTGCAGGCTCCAAAGTCAAGGATGTGGCCGGGGACTGGCACTGGGCTCTGCGGGTGAGTGTGGACACAGCCTGGGGGAAGGTCAGCAATGTTCTCACTGATTCTCCCTTTCTTACCTTCAGACAACCCCCCTTTTTAAGGCAGTGTTCACTCTGCCAAGCCTGGGTAGGAAGCCTGGCTGCCCTCACCATGAAGCCATGTGCTAGACAGAACTCTTGGTTGTGGGAGACAGGCGCCCCGTAAAACTGTAAGCCCCCAAATGGGACTCTGATGGCTCTTGTAATGGAGTCCCAGGGTGAGCTTCAGGTAAAGCTGGATCCAGGACTCCCACTTCGTCACGGGAATTCAATCATCCTTTTTCTCAGCTCCACTTTCCTCTGTATTAATTTCATTCTCAAGCAAGTGAAATCTCCATGCGTTTATCTTCCCGTTTAGAAACTTCGGCACCCTGGATCCTTGAGCAATAGTCCTGGATGGTATCTGATTAGATGAACGTGGGTCACATGCCCACCATTGAATCAATCACGGAGGCCAGGGAGGTTAACATGACTCGTTGGCCAAGTCTGGCCTACAAGCCCCGCCCTGTTTGAACTACATGGATTAAGAGAAGTGGGAGGAGTAGTTTCCCAAAAGGAAATTAGGGTGCTGTTACCAAAGAGGGAGCAGTTAGGCTTGCAGAAACAGGGGCCTTTGGTGGCATTTGCCCCTCCCTCGGAATGCAGGCTCAGTGCCCGCCCGTGAGCAGACAGCTGCCGGAGATTTGTGGCCTTGGGGCCCGAGTTATACACCGTCACTTTCTCCCAGCCCCAGGGGTTCAGTGTGTCACTGTCTGTGCCTGTCCTGAAGCCCACTCTTTCCCCAGGTGACTCCAGGTCTAGGGGTGGTGGCTGTTCTGCTGCTGTTCCTGGTAGTACGGGAGCCGCCAAGGGGAGCGGTGGAGCGCCACTTGGACTCCCCACCCCTCAGCCCCACCTCCTGGTGGGCAGATCTGAGGGCTCTGGCAAGAAAGTGAGTTTAGTTCCATTCTAGCCCAACATCTGAGGTCCCCTGGGGGGAGGCCCTGCTTTTGGGTTTGAGGTTTACAGGAGAGTGGTTGGTCTCTGTTTTCTGTCTGCTGATGGGCCCCCCAAGGCCAGGCATTCAGTCACCACTGCCCCCTTGTGGCAGCTGCTTGAATTACAGGCCCAGATCCGGGGGAGCCAAGATGGCTTCCCTACCCAGGGTCCTGACCTTACTAAAATAAGCCAGGGAGGGAGAAGAGAGGTCCCCTACCCTGACACCTCAGGAGTGTCAGTCTGACGTCCTCTCTCCCAACTGTCTGCAGTCCTAGTTTCATCCTCTCTTCTCTTGGCTTCACGGCTGTGGCCTTTGTCACGGGCTCGCTGGCTCTTTGGGCTCCTGCGTTCTTGCTGCGTTCTCGTGTGGTCTTAGGGGAGACCCCACCCTGCCTTCCTGGAGACTCCTGCTCTTCCTCTGACAGGTACCAGATGGGGGTGAGGCTAGGTGGCCTGCAGGTGGCAGGGGATGGAGTGGAGAGAGTCGTTAATTCAGACTCAGGCTACTTCCTCTCCCAGTGTCAGTTTCCTGGGCTGGGAAATAGGTGATGGATGGGCTGATTTCTTCTCCTCGGAGCTCTATGACCCATGGGATCCTTGAATAGACCTGAGTTGTGCGGGTGGCTGGGATGGACCATCTTCTTCTCCAGGCTGTGGGGGTGAGGCGAGGGGGCTTTGCAGGCAGAGGGACTGGCCCCCATGCCCCTCCCCCTGCCCCCAGCCTCATCTTTGGGCTCATCACCTGCCTGACCGGGGTCCTGGGTGTGGGCCTGGGCGTGGAGATCAGTCGCCGCCTCCGCCGTTCCAACCCCCGGGCTGACCCACTGGTCTGTGCTGCTGGCCTCTTGGGCTCCGCGCCCTTCCTCTTCCTGTCCCTTGCCTGTGCCCGTGGTAGCATCGTGGCCACCTATGTGAGTAGCCAGCAGCTGTCAAAGGGGGTGTTCTGGGTCTGGCGTGCACTGGGGTAGGACTGGGGTGCACTGGGGCAAGACTGGGGGTCAACCAGGGTAGTGGTTTGGAGACAACTTGAACCAGAATGCCTGGTTTTGAATCTTAGCTCTGGCTCTTCCCAGCTGTGTGACATTGGGCAGCAAGTTAACCTCTCTGTGCGCAGTTTCATCATCGGTCAAATAGGAATAGTAGCTTTGTCTCACAGGGGTGTTCTGAGAATTAAATTAAATGAGTGAATAGTTGGGCCTAGTACACAGTATACCCTCCATGTGTTCGCTCTTCTTGTGATGAGACAACCCCCCTCCCCCCCACCCCGGTCTTCTCCTCCAACCCCCCAGATTTTCATCTTTATTGGAGAGACACTGCTGTCCATGAACTGGGCCATTGTAGCTGACATCCTGTTGGTGAGTACGTGGGTCACTGCAGGGTTAGCCCAAAGGCTGACGGGAGCAAGAAGTGGGGGCAGGAGGCCTCGCTTGCCTTCGTTGTAGCCTTTACCCCTTTTTCCAAAACCCAAACCCAGACTGACTTCAGAGTCAGCCCCAGATGGGCCTGTAGTCTGGGCCTTCACCCCATTCACACCCCTGAGCTGGGGTTCCCTCTGGCCCCGTCCTTGCGCTCTGCCCCCTCCTCTCCCCAGTACGTGGTGATCCCCACACGACGTTCCACTGCCGAGGCCTTCCAGATCGTGCTGTCCCACCTGTTGGGCGATGCTGGGAGCCCCTACCTCATTGGCCTGGTGAGCACTGCCCCTCGGGTGGGCCTGGGGTGGGGATCGGGGGACCCTGCGTTCCTGGCACCGGCCCCCGGCCTGAGCTGGGGCTGCCTTAGCAGGAAGGACTGACCCCAGTGAGGTGTCTGTGCTTTGTGCCAGGCCCCACTCCCCGCTCACCTTGGGCCGTCAGCCAGGCAGGCCGCGTTTTGTCTTTGCATGTTCCGCAGTGAGGCCGTGGGGCTTTCCCTGGCCCTCCAGACCAGCCCTCTCTGTCGGTCCCTGACTCCTTTGTTCTTCTGGAGCTCGGGGGCTCCCGCGCCGTGACTCATGCTCCTGACTTTCCTTTCCTCGTCTCCCTGCAGATCTCCGACCGCCTCCGCCGGAGCTGGCCGCCCTCCTTCTTGTCCGAGTTCCGGGCCCTGCAGTTCTCACTCATGCTCTGCGCCTTCATCGGGGCTCTGGGCGGGGCCGCCTTCCTGGGCACCGCCATCTTCATCGAGGGGGACCGCCGGCGGGCCCAGCTGCATGTGCAGGGTCAGTGGGGCCTTCCCTTTGTCCACCCGTGGCTCCCCACCCGACTTCACGATACAACTGGCTTGTCCGTCTGTCTATCTGTCCCGGCCTGTGTCCCCGGCCTCTCAGCCCACAGCCCTTACCCCAGTCAGCTTTGGGTCTGCCTGTCCACTGAGCTGACGTCCCACCATGCCCCCAATTCTGGTGGCTCTGCTGCCCCATCCACTTTCCACTGCCTCTCGGTCCCCTCCCTGGCTTTGTGTCTCTCTGTCCATCCAGCCCTGGCTCTGACCTCTCCCCTGGGCAGGTCTGCTGCGTGAGGCAGGGCCCACAGATGACCGAATCGTGGTGCCCCAGCGAGGCCGCTCCACCCGGGTCCCCGTGTCCAGTGTGCTCATCTGAGGGGCCGTCGCTCGCCAGCCTGCATACCTACCACGGCTGGCCCCGGGCCCACTTGGAAGGAGCCCAGGCCCAAACCCTTGGCCTGGCCCAGCTTCTAGGAGTGGCCTTGGGCCACGTTCCAGCTCCCACACTACACAGACAGCAGCCAAGGGCGGGGGGGGGGGGGGGGGGGGGGGGGGGTCCAGGAGAGGGGCTCCCCTCCCCTGGAGCAGCCCCAGGGGCTTGGTGCTATTTGTAACTGAATAAAATTTGTAGCCAGAGTCTGAGTGCCTGCCTGAGTCTCTCTGGGTGTTACTGACCTCTGACTGGTAGACTGCTGGGGATGCCCCCTCCCTAGCCCCAGGACTCCCGGGGCTGTGAGGTCGCTCCTGTGGGACCTTGGGCAAATCCCTGTCCTCCTGGGCCGGGCGAACAAGAGTGTGGAGGGAGCTGGCTCAGTATGACTGTGAGTCACGCCCGTGTTCCCCTGGAGCCCGCCCCTCTTGGCAGGCCAGCTAGGGTAAGGTGGGGTGGGCACTGCCCTGCATCGCGCCCCCCCGCCAAGGATTCCCAGAGGCAGGGCCTCCCTCCTGGCTGCCGCCTGGAGCTGTGGCTGTGGAGGCTGTGGCTGTTGGCTGGCCTCTAAGTGTCTTGCCCTCCTTCTCCTGGTGGGAGTTGCTCCTTGTCCTGGAGGGCAGCAGACCCCTCGTGAGGGCCTTGGGGGTGGCTCCTCAGGCCTCTTCCTCCCCCTCCCCACTGGCTGGGTGGGGGTGGGAAGGGGGCGGGCGCAGCCGGCGAGCCCGATGATTTCCTGCCCTCGCCCGGGCTCACCACAGTTTCCTGCCGCAGGCGGGCAGGCGCTGGGGAGCAGCAGGCGCCTAGCCGAGGGGCAGGTAGGGCTGGGGCGCAGGGGCTGCGCAGGGGCTGCGCAGGGGTGACCGGTGGCCCAGAGCCTGGCCGGACTGCCCTGGGATCCCCGGTCTTCCCCAGCCAGCGCTGACCACCCTCCCCCCGCCCCTGGTGCCGTCCAGCAAGGGGAGGGGGCCCAGGGAGGGCCCAAGGAGGGCGCAGCTGCCCCCCACCGCCGACTTCCAGGCTGGTGCCCACTGGGCTTCTGCGCCCCTGCTGGCCCAGCCCTCTCCGTGCGCGTGCGGCAGCTCGGCCCTTGAGGGCAGGCGGCGGGGCCGAGCTCTACCCCCGCAGATGGAGGCCGTCGTCCTCATCCCCTGCGTGCTGGGCCTCCTGCTGCTGCCTCTGCTGGCCGGAGCGCTGTGTGTCCGCTGCCGGGAGCTGCCCGGTGAGTGGGGGGGCTGCCCGCGGTGCACCTGCAGGGGTCTCCGGCCCTCCTCGACCCCTCGCTCCCTCTTAGCCGTCCCTAACTCTACCCTGCGCGTCTGGGACCCGAGGGCCCTGCACTCCCGCCCTCTCCCCTGTCACCTCTCGTCCTGCCTCACCGGCTTCTCTTCCCCAGGCTCTTATGACACGGCGGCCTCTGATAGGTGAGTGGCCCGTGGGCCCTGTGTGGCCCCGGGGATGGGGACGGGAGCGGGGGGCGTCTCCGGGCTCTGACCAAGCTGTGTCTCTCCTTCCAGCCTGACCCCAAGCAGCATCGTGCTCAAACGGCCTCGTGAGTACCTGGAGGGTCCCCTGGTGTGTGAGAGAACGTGTGCCTTTGTTCAGGGTCCCCCCGCCCCAGTGGCTGCCCACATGGCCTCGACCTGAGCTGGGGACGGGGAGGGAGATGGGTGTCCTCGGGCCTGTCCAGGGCATGGGACGGTTCATGGGGTTAGTCTGTCCATCGAGGCCTCCGTGAGGACAGGCGCGACATGTCTGGACCCATTCCTTGAGCCTGGTCCTGTGTCCTCAGCCACAGTCGTGCCCTGGCCATCAGCCACCTCCTACGCTCCTGTCACCTCCTACCCATCCCTGAGCCAGCCGGACCTGCTCCCTATCCCGTGAGTAGCATCCCCCCTTCCAAATCCCCCCCTCCTTCCCCCCTCACCTCTGTAGATTGGCCGGGTGGGGGTGTCTTTTTTCCCGGTTGCCACCCCTCTTGCCCCAGAGCCCCACCCGGGCATGACCTCTGACCTTTGACTGCCAGGAGGTCCCCCCAGCCCCACCACATGCCGTCTTCCCGGCAGGACTCAGAGGGTGGTAAGTGCGGAGCCGGGGCTCAGGGGGCTGGGGCTGGGCAGAGGACGGATCCCACCCGAGCTGACTCAGCTTCCCTCTCGCTCGCTCTCCGAAGCCAACAGTGTGGCAAGCTATGAGAACGAGGGTACGTCGGGGGCCCCGGGGGCCCTGCTTGCGGGGAGGCTGGGGCCTGGCCCGGGCCCTGTTGATCACCGTGTCGCTACCCCAGAGCCCGTCTGTGAGGACGAGGAGGAGGAAGAGGAGGACTATCACAACGAGGGCTACCTGTGAGTGGCCAGGTCCCAGGAGGTGGGGGAGGGGGTCGGGGGGGGGGGGGGGGCGTGGGCCCCGGGCCCCCCTCGCCCCCCCCCCCCCCCCCCCCCCCCGGCTGCCCCTCAGGGAGGTGCTTCCCGATAGCACGCCAGCCCCCAGCAGCGCTGTCCCACCGGCTTCTGTGCCCAGCAACCCCGGGCTCCGAGACAGCGCCTTCTCCAGTGAGCTGGCCATTCCCGAGTCTGGGCGCGACCCCTCTGTGCTTCCCTGCCCCGTGGTTCCCCTGACACCTGCC